AGTTTAATAGAATTTTTAAAAACACAACAACACACATTATCTAACTAGGCTGCAATTTGAAAAAATTGTACACCTATAAATTCCTACAGTCTGTCCACTGTCTTTCCTTAATCTCAAGAACAGAGTTAGATAGAAGAAAGATGAGAGCAGATATAGAAAACTTGGAAGCAAAAGGTCCCTATTAACTATACATGAACTTCTGATGCAAACCAGAAATCATGTTATTTCAATTCAAAAATTTTTCCCTGAAAGATATTAGATAGACAACTGGCACGACTATATTGTTAAAGAAAAAGTATGATGTACAGGGGCAAGCAACTACTAATTTGAGGTGGAGAGCATTTTAAATTAAATAAATTAAAATTTGCAGCCCGGCATTGTGACGATGTTACAGTAAATACTGTAATTGCTAGTTTAACTTAAGTTGTTGATTCAAAATTAACGAAAGTTTTGATAATTTTAATTATTTAATATAATTAAATTTAAATTAAACGTAAAACTAAGTTACATAATATACATATATATAGGCCTATATATAGTTTTCAGAGATTGAGATGCCTAAAGCACTTAACATTTTGAAGCTCTCTGTACATTTAAAGCAACAAAACAGCATTAAAAATTTATTTTAAACTTTACAAGTAATAAAATTCGACAAAAACAAATAGTTTTTAGATGCACAAAAAATACAATGAAAGAAATAATTTAATAAATATTTTTGAAGTTCTCGTAAATGTGAGAAGCAAACTAAATTGCTCAACCTCCTATGAGAGAGAACCTATCTTTGCATATTATTTATAAATCTCAATTTTTGAAGTTCTATATGAATTAAATGTTAAAATTTTAATGAGACAGGTTTTCATTTTGCTTGATTTACTCTTTCTTTTGGCTTAATATATAGGCCTACTTTTTGCACCAATTTTATTTATTTCTACGTTATCTTTTTCTTTATATGTATTCCTTTATATAACCCATATAAATAAATATTCATAAAAGCATTGATGAGCATTATGTAAATTTGTAACACAATTTCTTTGCTACTGAACTTCTTTGTTTAGTAGCAAGGAAACTGTGTTGGTAATGTTAACTATATTATCCTAAAAGCTTATATAAAAGTATTTATCTGAAGCAATATATATATACTATATATATATATATAGTAAGAATATACAAACACTTGTATATAGAATATGTATTTTTAGTGACATTTAGCAACATGCAAAGACAAATGAAAAATACACTTCAATAGTATATATAAATGTCATGTAGAAACATGTTCGCAAGAACATATTTGTAGCCTTATGTTCAAATTCAACAAATTCAATTTGATAACGCCATTTATATAACTTATTGCCTATTTTGTAGCCAAGTCACAAGTATATTTTCTTCGAATTCAAAGTGCTCTTACTTGATATTAATAACTCACTGGAGAGCAATTGTTCCGATTGTAGTGAATAAATCAATTTTGGTGCAATTAGTTATGCTAATTTCAACTAATCTTTCGACCTTTTGAGATATTATTTCATAAAATTCAACAGTCTCTGCAGGATTTTTGCATAGAATATTTTTGTTTTACGCTACAAATTACTGTATAATTGTTACTTGTTACGGATACGTGTAAACTGATTTATTTACTTTTTATCGATCTCTCTCGACAGAAACTTGCATTGTGCCAAGACATTTACATTATTATTTAATAGCTTTTAACATAAATAATTTTAAAATAATAAATATTAAATAAATACAAATCATAAAATATTTAAAATATAATATTTATTCTTACTTTTAATTATAAAATTATAAGAATATGCTTCAAGTTATTGCTCTTCTACTATTCACCAGGATCGATAGATAAATTTTAAATTTTTATATTTATATTCGTATATTTAAATATTTCGATATAAAATGCGAAAATATCAAAAGATATCAAGATTTCCTGCTCTTGTGTATCATGAAAAATTTCTTTCGATATCTTCAAACTAACAGAAATCGGATTCGTCGAGTGAATCAATGCGCTTTCATCCACTCAGTCAAAGGTCTTGCCTTTCTTCAAATAACCAATAAAAAAATGAAGCTTAACATAAAATTCGCCTTTTTTATAGATCCTTTCACGTTCAAAAACAAGAATTTTTTCTTTCTAAATTCTTGTTTTGACCTTTTTCCGTGAGGTTTTCTCAATACTTCCATCATGTCAACAATATCTTGTTTGTCATGGGTTTAAAAGGGTTGTAATTCAACTAAAATATAAATTTTAACAAATCAAATTATATAAAAATATTTTTTAAAAATATAACTATTTATTAAATTTTTATTTAATCGAGTAATTTAAATGGCTACAAAGTACAGAAAAATCTATTTAAAGAACCCCTTAAATGCCACTACACCGCATAACTTATTGTGGCATTCAACGGGTTAAAAATAAATTACTAAAAGTCTTATAGAACTTCAAGAAAATCTTAAAATTTTCAGGATTTGTTTTCTCTAATTTAAATGAAATAAATTATAATAAAGTTTTAAGCATTTTATTTTCTACAGACGTGGGAATTATGTTAAATTTTGTGTTGATGATACCAAAAGGTACTGTACAACCATTTGTATAATTTTCCGATATAGAATCTATAAAATAATATTTTCGTTAGATATTTTGAAATATTATTGATGTTTTTTAAAAAAAACGATGAAATCAATAACTAATCTCGAGAGAATTCTAATTCGAAAAGTTTAAACTTCAGATTTCTTATTCTATAGAAGTAATGGGATCTCCACCCTTGTTACTTGTCTCTTGAAATTTAAACAAGTAACACATCAAAGAATATTTAAGAATTTATTCATATTTCGATTTACTGATCAATTTACTGATAATTGATCAGTAAATCGAAATGTGAATAGATTCTTAATCTTAAAGTAAGAAAAAATTATATGGAATTTTTAAAAAAATTTTTTCTTCTATGGGAAGAGTAAATTACGGTCGTTAACGGTAGCTTAAAAGATTAGTTTAATTTAATTATAATTTAAATTAATTTAAATACATTTTATAACTATAATGATTAAACTATAAAATGCATTTTCTTTACATAATATGTAAATTATGAAATGTTTCGTTATCTACGGTCAAACGTCCATTTAACGCTATCATTTGTTGGAATGAAATCGAGTGTCACACTAAACCAAAGTACCTCAAATAATAAAAATTATACTGTACATAGTAAACTGCATACAAGTTCGAACTTGAGAATTTTAAAATCATATAATTTAGTGATAACAATATGGTTTACAAAGCAAAATAATACGTTTAGTAATTCACAGATACTAAAGTGTTCTCTTTTTAATATCTGATCTGTTTACAATTATTCATTGCCGTTACGGCAGTATTTAGATCAAGGTTTGGCTGTATTCATAAAGATTCACAAAAAGTTATTGACTTTTTACAAAAATATCTCTCTTTATATTAGCGATATGTCAAAGTTTGGCTGTAATGTGAAAAATACAAAATGCATTGCTGCTGTAAATAGCATATAAATTAGAATCCCCAAATTCTGGAAAATCAGAGAAAATTAAGGAAACTCAATAAAATTAAGCATTTCTAAATGAAATAGGCTATAATCAGTTATTTTTATTTTCTTATTGAAAGTCACAAATTGATTAAATTTTGGTTAATTTTTGGATAAAACGTGTTATTGCATTACTTTCTCACAGAAAGATCACTTCGGCATACCATAGTAATTAGCCTGTTTCAAATTTATTACATTCGGCTCTCCCTTTGTCTTAACTCTTCAGTTATATGAACATGAAGATGTTGAAAATGTCACATGATAGGAACGCGTTTGTTAAATCGTCTCAATGAACTTGATCCTATCACATAACTTCCTCAATAAATTCGTGTTGTACACATAATTCAAGGCTAAAGCCCCGCTATAACAGATGACATTTTCAATGTATTATGGCACATGCTTATACTGACAGTTTTATGTGACCGTTGCTGTAGATTGCGGTCATTTTATTAAACGTTAAATACGTTATTTTTTCATTTATATTGTTAAGTTTAAACTTACTTTCTAGTAGATTCAAAGCTGTATTTATCTTAGATACATCCAACACACCTTATTGCTGAGAAACATATATTTATTACCCAACTGCTGTATTTATCATAACACAAAATATAAAAATTGAGAGTTATCTACTTGGAGTAAACTTGAATCCTAAACAGGAGTTCTAACAGCAAGATGTTGATAAAGTTGTTTTATTCATTAGTTTAACTATGTCATATGTGTAAATATATCAACGATTATTCCTCTTAACCTGAAAAATGTTCAAAATATTATATTACATACAGTATCTTGCATGAGAAAATAACTAATTATTTTACAAGTTTCGATTTTCGATTAATATCATATCTTCATTACTAGAAAGCAGTGTAATAATAATGGGGATGAGTGGAGGGAAAGAAGAAAAATTATTAGGCCAGGGATTAAGTAAATATGCAGCTAACTTGAACATCCTACCACTCACAAAAATAAATATTAAAAATATGCTGTGACATGTATTGAAAAACTTAGGTTGGGAAGAAAATTGAAAGTCGTTTTAGAGGAAATTTAGGATTAGAAAGTTAGGGAAATGGAGTATGATTTTAATTTGGGAACTATGATTATATATTATCTTTCATTTAATATAAAAATATTGAAATTATTTTTGCCAACTTTTTAAACATTTTTAAATGTATTTTCATATTCTCTATTTAATATATGAATTAAAAAATATATTTATTTAGATAATTTTCATTCGTGCATTTACTATTAAAAACCTATTTTTAAAACTCATATTTTCATATATTATATATATATAATTCTATACAAATCTGTAATAAAATATGTTTTTTGAGCAATTTTTAAAAAAAACTAATTTAAATTATATAAATTTAGATAATTTGCTTTTTTAGAATTTTTAATATCTTTTTCACTAATATCAATTTTAATTATACAGATATAATAATAATTATTTAACAGGATTTAATATCACCCGGACCGGATGATAGGAACTGGAGAGGTATTGGTATTGCTCTATTGGTTATTGTAGCTGTGTGTGCACTCATTGTTGCAGCAGTCATTTTATTGACTCCAGGTAAGTTTTCCTTACTTTTTAGCTCAATATATACTTTTAAGATATTTCTGAGTGAATTTTTACAATAAATGCAATAATTAAGCCTGCTTGTTAGATAACAGGAATCTGATATGGAACTTATCATAAGCTTCTTAATTCAATTGATTAATTTAATGTAAAACGTAATAAAATAATATATAAATCATTTAAATTAATAGGATGAAACGTCTTTCTGAAGAGGAGAATTAAATATTATATTAATTGCAATGAAGATTATTAGTTTTCTCGTTCTATATCAATCGATCGCTTCGAGTACATTAGTAAAGGATATTCTTAAATATTTACTTAATCAGCCAAGATGATTAACTGTTGATTATTATATAACAAGATTAATTTAAATAAATAATCGTGATGTAAAGTTGGATGTATGAAAACAACATATTAAAAGTTAACAAAATAGTAAAAGGAAGAGTACTAGGTGGAATGAACAAGAAAATAGACAAAGAATTTATTTTAATCACAGCTTAAATTTTTTATATGTTATTCAGAATAATAAATTATTTGTCCACCTAAAAATGAGTATATATTTTCGATATTAATAGGTACATATAGTGGCTTATAAAAAGGTTTATAGGCTTATAAAGAGATGCAGGCTTCTTGCTTCTCTTGATGGCTTCTTAGAGCTCTTCAGTGGCTGAGTGGTCGAAGGGACAAAAGCGTTAGTCTACACAACGATCCTAACTTGAACCCGAAGATGTCTGGAGGATTCGACTTCGAGTTCGAATCGGATTCACAAAGATTTCATGAATGATTGATCCGATGTGCGTGAACCGGAGAGGGCCCTACATAAAGGCAACGCGTAGGACAACGGAGATTTTGTAGTATTTTGATAGTTAAATCAACAAATTAGTAATTATTTAAAATGTGAGTGTACTGGTTGCATCTACAGAACGATCATTTTCGAAGAACTACCTCCGATCAAATGTCGAAAAATTTTCTTTATTTTCGATCATGTCCATTGAAAGAGATATTGCTACAGAAGTGGACTTTTCTTCTGTATTAATGAATTCGGACTGCTAGACCAGGAGATCAATTTTGTAGATGAATTTCTATACACCTATTGAATTTTGAAATTCATTGTAAAACTATTGTATACATTTTTATTACTTTATTGTATGTTCTACTACCTGTTTCTATATTTAAAATGTTCATATTATTGTAACCTAAATAGATCTAACTTCTACCTCTATCGCTCTTTTAATGGTCCTCAAAAATAAATTTTGCCTAGGGCCTCGCAAATCCTAGGGCATTCTCTGGCGAGACCCGCTTACATCCGGATCAAATCACTCACGAAAATTTCGTTATCCGACTTGCTCGGACCTGTTCCTGTGATAGACATTAATAAAATTCTTCATAATACCATAAGGTGGCAAAAGTTTAAAAAATAAATGAATAAAGAAAAAACATCTTTTCAATATGTAAACTTAAAATCGTAGAATCATTTTATTTTACTTCTATTATTATTATTTTTAATTGGCTATTTATCAAATAGATTTAAAAATATTTTTATTTTCAAATTTAAGCTTTTTGCTAATATGACTTAATTAATAATACTGTACTTCAAAATTCTTCCGACATTATATTTAAAACTTTAATAAAATATATCATAATTCTTCCGTTATTGGGTCATCTTATTCATCTTATTGGGTCATATTGGTCCTTCTATTTTTTCCTATCTTCCACATTCTTCCTTTATGTACTATCTTCTAGTCCTTTTAATCTGATCCCTCCATCTCTCTTCTTGTCTTTTCCTTTTGGTCTATTGCCTACAATTGTTTTATCTGTGGCGCTTTCTTTGTGTCCTGCTCGCGTCTTTCATATGTCCAAACCACTTCAAATGTGTCTTTCTCATCCTGTCCATCAGACTGCTTACATTTAGGCTAATCCTAATCTTTTCATTCCCCATTCTGTATCTTCTAGTTTTCTCTTTTATTGTTCTTAACATTTTTATTTTTATTACTTGTATTCTCTGGCTAGTAAAGAAATATATATAAGTTATATAGGATGGCTCAAAATTTAGCAGTACTGTATTGTCTTAATTATAGATTTACATGTCAGTATAAATCGTGACGAATAAATGATGAAAATGTGATTAAAAATTAAAGTATTTGAGTAAGCTTTACAATGGTTAGCTGACTTCTGGGCCACTTTGTATATTAAGTAAATACATCATCAGTAGCTCTTACTTGGGTTTACATTAATCGATAACTATTAACACGAAAATTTTATTTATTATTTTATATCATAAATTATAATCACGAAAAAAGAAATTGGTGATATTTCATTCATATTTTATCTTCGAAGACAAAAGTGAACGATAACGTTTGTTATAAATTTAAAATTATTTACTTTTGTAACGATAAAATGTAATAAAATACGACATTTTATTTTCGTTTTTTCGAAGTAAACAACGGAGAAAATCAAGATTTATCACTTTACAAATGGATTCTTGCATTGATTCTAAGCACTTTTAGATTTACTCAGTACATACATCTGTTTGTAAAAATAGTACGCTGTAGACAGGTTATCAATTTAAAACATACAAAATGTATCTTTGAAATTAGTCAAAATTATATAAATAGGATTTACAAAATTCGATTTATAAACTAAATTCCGATGGATCAAATTTGTGGATATTTTTTTTTTTCTCAATTTTAAATTAAATACCAACAAATAATTAATTTTAATAATTAAANTCAAAGTATTTAAGGTTATCATTTCCAGATGCCTAATATATAATGTTACTTATTGTCAGAAACGTTTGAAATTTTCTATTTAAAAAATAATCGAGTAGAACAAGTAATTCTGTAGAGTTTGTATCTATGTAAAATGTTTTCTAAATCTCTCGCTTCGTTTACTATATTATAGTAATGATGAATATAGTACTTGATTTAACATGATGCAGTATGTTTGTAACGACCTTTTTACGACACTTTTCTTTCAAATATATTATTTTATCTGAAGTTCTGAATTATAAATTGGATGTAGAATATATATTTATATATATTTTAAACATTTTTTATATTCTAAAACCAATGCAATGCGCGTTTTTACAAATTCTCTCCGTTACCTTAACCATTTACAAAGACTTTTCATGTCTTTCTTTTCTCAAAATACCTTAAAAACAAACTCTCAAGTTATCTACCTTTGTAAATCTAAGGAGATTCGGAATAGAATGGGGAATTGAATTCGGACTCTTCGGCTAATTCACTTGAGACAACATATTTCCAGTTCATTAAGAACGTATTGATTGTGTTTATCTTCATATTCAATAAGTGTATGTAGTTGAGAAGTTTTATAAAATAACAAAAGATAAATTATATTTACATCTATTTAATTAAATAAGTTAATTTTTCTAGCTGATATGTGCAATATGTTTGAATGATCATTTCACAACTTTTTATTTTCAAAAATAATATTTTATCTGAATTATAAATTGAATAATAAAATATGTATTTCCATATATTTAAAATTTCTTTTATATTTTTAGATTCATGCAATGTTGATTTTTAGAGAATTTCAAGGCATTCGCTCATTCTTCTAAACATAAAAACTTTATAAATTTTTCAATGATAATAATTATATTAGAATAAAATGTAAATTACAAACAACTCAAACTTTGTTTATAAATACAGTAAAAATCACAAATTTAAAAGCAAAGAAATTTATATTATTACTTTAAGAAGTAACTTATAATTTATATTTTAAAAATATATAAAATAAATAAATTTAATAAATATGTAGGATGGTCCAAAAGCCGGTTAACCATTAGCCGAAATAAACCATCAAAAGATTTTTAAACAATTTTTTTAAAGCTTGTGATTAATAAAGGATTTGAATAAGACAATAATTTAGCTTTTATTATAATGGTTAACTGACTTTAGATCAACCGTATAAAGTATGATATATAAAATCCTGTACAGCAAATTTCTCTATATATCTAAAATTAGCCTAATTATCAATAATTTAATAAATATACAGTAAGCTCACAAGTCAATTAATAGTGTAAATCGCTCGAAAGATCTATTTTTTAAAAAGTTATATCTTTCTTGTTCAATATGCAAATTATGTTTTGAATAGTTTACTTTTTCTTGTTTTTAGTCTGCAAGTAATATTTGAATAAGACAGCAATTTAGTCTTTACAGTAGGTTAACCGACTTTTGTGACACCACGTATATCGTAAAATATTCAAACACTAAAAGAATTTTACAATAAAATTTTCATGAAGAAATATAAATATTTTGAATATTTTTTGAAATATTAAAACTTTGATATACGTAATATATAAAATCTTAAATTGTTATTTGAAAATTTTTGAAATATTTCTTGAATGAAAACAGTTACGAAACTGTTATTAAGTTATATATTTACAAAAATAAATAACAGATATTTCGCAAAAAGATTTCAGAAATTATTGATATATCGATTATCCGGTTCCGAATGAATCATTTAACCTTACTTCAGGAAATGGTTCTTCAGTAAATCATTGTAAAACTATATTTATCTGAAGAAAATATCTAAATTTCATCGTACATTTTTTCAAATATCGAATGCTAGAATCTAGATATACAGTATATATTTTTATTTAGATAGTCGAATTTTTTCCGTTTTTAAGCATTAAAATAATCGACTGTTATCCTTTTTTTTTTTCAATATTGCATTGGCATTTTAAAAAGCACATTTGAAAATGTTGGAAAGGTTTAAAGAAATAGACTTTTAAAAAATGTTTAATATATACATATATATATATATATATTTTTTTTTATAAAAAAATATATATATATAAGAAAATCCAATCTTTGTTAT